GGTGGACCTCCACAACGACATGGCCATCCATCCAGCCCGAGCCACCCGAGGGGCCTCCTGCCCCCAGACACTCTGGCAAATGAGCTTACGCAGGGCGGGCCATGAAGGTGCTGGACGGAGGCGCCATGGGCGCGCTCGTTGCTCAGTCACTCGACCACCGTCGGCCCCGCATCCGGCTGCCCACCGGGCGTGTGCCAGATGCCCCAAGTGCACAATCTCTCCTCACTTGCCAACATCCATGTGCTGGTTGTCCATCGCCCATATTGCCCTCCCACTCAGACGCTTGTGTTGTGGAAGTCGCGACTTGAGCATCCGCTTACGCGTCCCCGCGTGCCCGGACGAGTTCCTCGATATCCACACCAGTCACAGGCCCAGTCATTCCCCGTACCATGTTCTCGAAGCCCCGGCCGTACAGCGGCGACGGCCGTACAGCGGCGACGGCCGTCGTCTTCCCATTCCAGGCCCTGGGCCCCTGCACAGCCGGATCGAGCTGTCGCACATCGACCGCGCATGCATGGCCGCCGAGGCTGACAGCCGGGCCTGCAGCGTATACTCCCTCCCCAGGGACCGATCCTCTCGGTCCCGTGGACCGCTGATATAGGTTGCCTGCAAACCCCGGAGTAATCAGCTTATCCTACCAGCCCGGACACGCCCACCAGCCCCGGGTACGGCACCAATACCATAGTCTGGCCCATCAACGCCACGCGCCCAGTCGCTTGCCAGTGACTTGGCCATCTTGTCCTTCGACACGACGAGGGGCTATCCTCACCAACTCTATCAGCCGATCATTCATCAATGACCGATCCCCCACCAGCAGCTTCGATACGTCCGGCACATGCACCACCACCACCCGCCGGCTGCGTCGCGATAGCAGACACACAATCACCACCCAGGAGCACCCCAGCACCGGCGGATCTCACCACTCTCGGGACATCATGCCCTCAGCCACCGGCTCCCCGGGCCCCATGGTCAAACGGCCCAATGCACCGTCCGTGCCGCCCAGCCGATCCATCTCCAGCAGCCGGAAATACCCCAGTACACCCTCCTCGATGGCCTGGAGAAAGGACGCCTGCTCCGGCGCATTCGTCTTCCGCCAGAGCGCATCCGGGCAGCCAAATCGAGCGACGCGGAGCTGGTTCACCGATCGACAAACCGAACATCACTGGCAGAGAGGCAAGGGAGATGCCCACAGGAAGGAGGGCAAACTGCCTCCCAAGGGACCACAGCTTGAAAATGCGCTCACATCCGCCCGAGCGGGGCCAGCCACTCGCACTCCTGCCCTTTCGCAAGCCCCAGCGATCTGCGTCAATGCGCCAAGCATTGATCCACTCCCCTCCCCGTCAAGTCCCCTTCGACCTGCATTCGAGTCTGCCATCTGCCAGGAGGGAAGTGCGGAAGCCCGGCTCTTGGACAGAAGGCGGACGACGCGGCGGCTCAGTTGCCCCAAGTCGATGTGGAATCACGTCCATTTAGCACCACAGAATTATGATCAAGTGATTATATAAAATGGAATTACGAGCTGTACACATGGCAGTATCAAAAATCGGTACTGTCGCGTCTATTACCGCCGGCGTTCTGGAGTGAGCCTTGATCCGGGCAGGTTCCCTCGGCCCAGTGTCCTCCAAGGTACCTGGTCGTGAAATGTCTGCCCGCGGCACGCATCATGCAGCAGGGACCCCTACCGGCCTGCCCCCTCCCGTGCGATCTCCGTCCGTCTGAAACGCATCTCATGCTCCATGGCCAGGGACCTTCCCCCACTCGCCTCTGTGGCCTTGCGTGTGGCCTCCTCCAACGCGCCATCCCGCCACCCGGATGCATTCCGCCCATTCAGAGGAACCTTTGGCGGTGATCTTCCGGGCTACCCATGGGCCCAGCACGATCGCCGTCTTTTTGTCAGTCGTGCCCCTGCAGGACTCGCAAGCACCTCCACGGCGCTTCGACCGGCAAAGTGGCCTGTGTCATTGCTCGGCTCGCTTCGCTTCGCATCGAGACGCCCATAGCAATCCAAGCATGCACCCGAGCTTGCTTTGCTGCCCTCCCGTGGCCCCTCCCAGCGGGGAAGTAGGCACGCTCTCGACGCAAGAGGACACCGACCTCGGAACCCGCAGGGGTACTGGCCAGGTCGAGGCGGCCAGACCCCCCCCCTGCGTGCCGGTTTTTCCCCGCCACAGCCTGCTGCTGGCCACTCTCGCGCGTTGACCGCCCGTCCACTGGAAGCCAAGGGCCTCCCGGGGATCGACAGGGGAATCCGAGCAGGGCCTTCGGCCGATGTCCACCCGGTGCGCCCTACCCCATCTGCATGGGGCACCCCGGGCCATCGATGGCGCGCTCCCAGGGCGCGCGTGCAGCTCGGTGGGGAAGTGCCACCCCGCGAGGGGCCAACACGAGCCAGGGGCATTTCCTGACGCGAAAGACACCGGCCGGAATTCCACCCCCATCCGCACAGTCATGCATCCCAGCATCTCCGGCGATCCTTCCGGCTATACAGGAGGAAAACTCCGAGGCTCAAACACAGCAACATACCCGCTGCCATGGTATCGACTAAGCCAGAGCCCCGGTCCGCAGGGCGACATTCCATCTCCGGAGACCTGCCCGGCGCATGGCGA